GGCAAAAAAAAAAAAGTCTTGACCTCACCTTACCTCATGCCATATACAAAAATATATATTGGGTGGAGTATTTATATGAAATACTACAAAACAAATCTAATTTATAGAGAAAAAGCAAAACTATGATTGCCTGTGATCAGAATTACAATTAGTTTACTAACAAGACACTTTATAAAAGTCTTTTAACTTCTTTATATGTTTGATGTCACCACAGACTGGGTAGCTGAAGCAACAGACAATTCATTTCTCACACTTCTCGAGACTAGGAAGTCCAGGATCAGGGTGCCTTGACTTACCAGTCAGGGACAGACTGACACACTCAGCCAAATTTTCTCCCCCCTGCCTGACCATTCCAGTGTCTCAGTTCAGACTGATAGAACAGAATACTGCAGATTGGGTGGCTATACAATAGACATTTATTTCTCAGAACTCTGGAGGCTGAGAAGCCCAGTATCAGGGTGCCAGCCAATTGAGTTCCTGATGAGGGCCTGCTGCTTTGCCCACTGTAGTTTTTCTTAAAGTTCATCCTATAAATGGGGTTCAGTTCTTGTCTTAATGGAACTTAGGTACATTATGGAGCAGGAAACAGAGCTTTGAAATCAGGCAGATAATGTACATGAATCCCTTATTGTTTGCTCTTTGCTCTGTGATTATATTTCATCTCACTCAGTGATTGTGAAGATTAAATGACATAACCTGTGTGAAGTACCTAGCCACTCGAGCTTTGCACATAGTAGACGTTAAAGGGATAGTAGGAAATAGGAAGTGTCATGCACAGCTTGTTTAAATTACCTACATTACATGTTCACAAGTTTGGTTTGAACATAAGAATTTTGCCTTTTCTCACTTAGAAATATTTTCCAAAGTTTGAGGAAGTTGAAGCAGAGAGGAAAGCGGAAACCTAGGTTAAACTTTCCCCAGCATTCTCTGTGTGCTAGTCATCTTCATGCCTTAGATAAGTGCTATTTCTCTGGTCACTGTTTATCTTCCAGATCTATCCACCCTACATTTCTAGTGATTTGTTCAGGACCATTCTTTTATGAAGTTTTTCTGCTCCCTTCATATTCTGATTTATTACTTATGTGTCTTTATTAGTAATTTGACACCTACCTGCAGACTATTTATAGTTACCTTTTCAAATGTCTTAGGTTTCTTCAGCCTTATGGCAGCATCAGGGTCTAACCACTTCTTCCGTGCCACCTAACAACCAGAGTAGTCAAGAGTTAGATCATTTGGGACTGCCCTGCAGCATGGCAGTTAATCACTGTGCAGAGGAACCTAGAACTCACAAGGCTGACCAAGGTTCATGTCTAGGCCCTACTGGGGAGTATGTATGCATTCACACACGCTCTCTTTCCCCCCTCCCCTCCCTCAACCACAATTCTCTCCTCTTGTGTGCATTTGCCCTCTGGCATAAAAAAGAAAAAAATGTTAAGATTTACATGATTTGGGCCAGCAGGTGGCATGAGGTTAAGGTGCTGGGTCCCATTTGGCCGACTCCACAATTTGAGTTCTGGACCATGCAGCTTCAAAAATACACCGGGCACCTGTGCATGTGTGCCCAAAATCCTCAAGGGAGAATAGTGAAAGGATTGCTGCATGGCCATTCTCCCGGGGAGTGATTTCTCACTTTTATCTATGTATGTCTGTCTCTCTCCACAAGCATACGTGCCCTACAACAAAACTTTAAAAAAAAAAGAAAAAAAACATAATTTGAAGTCAGATCCTGGGTTTGAATTCCAGTTTGCCATTTACTAGTTATATGACTATAGGCAAATTAATCTCTCCAAGCCTTAGTCCTCATTCGTAAATAGGAATAATAATTTTAAAAATGAAACAAGAATGTATGGAAAATTCCTGACACACCTAAGCATTAAATAATTACCATTTTATTTGATTAATTGACATTGATTGTTATTTCAGTTTCCAGGAATATGGATCTACTGGAGCAGCCCACGCAGATAGTGAATATGAGAGAAGAATGATGTCTGTATATCATCATGTCTTAGAGGAGGTAGAATCACTCAATCGGAAATACACTCCTGTTTCTTACATGGTACGTGGTATTGTGTTATTGAAATTTTTATTACGTAGAAGTGGGTTTCTATCCATCTCTAGTAGCTAACTGTGAGTTCAGCGTGCTAACTTGTCTGTGCCTGTGCTTTATCTGTAAAACATATGTGCATATATATGTATGTGTGTATATATATATATATATGTGTATGTATGTGTGTATATATGTATGTATATATGTGTGTATGTATATATACACATATATGTGTGTGTGTGTATATATATATGTGTATGTATATATGTTGTTGCAATAGTTCTCAACCCTTACTTCACATTAGAATCACTCTGGTTGAGGGACCAACAGTTAGCTTAATGGCTATGTCACTAGACTCCCATGTAGTCGACCGTGGTTCGAGTCTTGGACCTGGTGGCTTAAACTCACGCCAGGTGCGTGTGCAGGAGTGCCCAAGATCCCAAGAGGAGAATGGAAGAAAAGGGATTGTGGCGTGGCCATCTCCCCTGGGAGGCGGGTGATTTCTCGCTTTCTGTCTGTCTTTCTCATGAGTGCACGCGCCCTATAGCAAAAACCTCTCAAAAAAATAAATTAATTTAAAAAATAAATTTAAAAAAAGAAAAGAATCACTCTGGTTGAATAAAAAAAAGAAAAGAATCACTCTGGAATTTTTTTTTTTTTAATCCATGTTCAGGCACCACACCAGACCAACCGACTCTGAATCTCTGGCATTGAGGCTCAGACATTAGTATTAAAAGCTTGCAGGTGGTTCTGTCATTCTAGAGTTGAGAACCACTGGCCAGTTGAAAAAGAAATAACTGGGTTTGCTGTCTGACAGTAAATCAGTCCTTCCAGGTAATGACATAGATGTCTTTTAGTATACTTGTCGACCTTTAGCCTACTGAATCTCTGCTGCCTTTGCTGTTACGCACTCACTTTTTATTAAATCTTCTCCCTTGACTTCTCAGACAGTCTGACACACTCACCCAGATTTTCTCCTCCCTCTCTCCCTAGTGTCTCAGCTCAGACTGTGATACACAGAATACCACAGACTGGGCGGCTTAAACAATAGCTGTTTATCTCTCACAGTTCTAGAGGCTAGGCAGTCGAGGGCCAGGGTACTAACCAATTCAGTTCCTGATGAAGGCCCTCTTTCTGGCCACAGTTAGCTGTCTTCTAATTGTGTTCTCACACGGCAGGGAAAGATAGAAAGCGAGCTCTTGGCTTTCCTGTCTTCTTTCAGTACATAAATCCTTTGATGGGGACCCTACCTCCAAATTTCATCTCACTGGAAGGTAGGCCTTTAACATATGAATTCTTGGGGTGTGTCCAAGATACTTAGTCCATAATACCCAGTCACACCTCAGAGAACATTTCTTCTGCCCACACATTAGATACTGACATTCCCTAGAGCTCTCTTCTGGCTCTTAAACTCTCGCCTTTTATCAGATGTTTTAAAAGAAATTCAGCTAGAAAGAGTTAAATTAGACTGAAAGATGGATACTTTCCTTGGCATACTGTGTTTGATAAACTGCATTGACTTAGCTGTTAGTGTTAAGGGAAATGATAAAGATTGTCTTTGTAGGAAATACATCTAGGAGAGATGGTGATTATTTTAATATCCTTCTAAGAAATTAAATAGCTACTAAACAGTAACTTGCTCTTGATGGAGCTGAATCCACTGAATATAATGGAGAGAATTAGAAGTTTCTGTCCAGGAAAAGACACAGGAGAAAAAATAACTCTAGCTTTATTCAGAACCAGATTTAAATCCTGGCTCTGCCATTCAGCAGCTCTGACTTTAGACAAATGACTTAACAATCTCTTATTTGAAGTAGGAAAAGTACCTATCTCATAGGATTACTGCGAACTTTAAATGAAGTCACCTATATCAATTGCCTAGTGCAGTGCCTAGCATATAAGGAAGTGGTTAATAAATGGTAATGTCCTTTTCTTCCCATTCCATATTTTATTTCATAGATTTGATACCTTTTGGGTTTTTTTTTTAACTTAACAAAAATGTTTATTATGAAAATGTACATGACCTGATTTTTACATCATAGTAAAACAGACCCAGACCCCTTGGAGAGGGGCCATGGATTTTTCTATTGAACACCCATTATTTATACTCATCCCAAGGCTTCTAACATAATGATACTGTTTCCTCATATTACCACCATTCCAGTATTATTCTGTTGCCCAGTAGTTGCCATCTCCATACATTCATCTATCAAAGGTTCATTAATGGATCAATTCCCAGCAGTATACTTTGAACATGTCTGCCACCATTTAATGTCAGTTATGCCTTCTCGTCCATAAATTTTTTCAACTAGAGAGGGTGAGCCTTGCTCATGGTACGTACTCAGCGAGCTGAGATGCCTTTCTATTTGATACTTTCTGAGCCCCCAAATTCAACAAGTATTTATGGGATCCTAGGAATAGCAAAATCACAAAGACAAAGGCTCTTCCATCAAGTTGTCTATAGTCTAACAAAGAAAGATTTTATAAGCAAACCTGTAATAATACAGTGACTGTACAGTAATAGAGTTATGTACAAGGAAGTGACATAGACAAAAAGGTAATTCATGTCCGAGAATCGGGAACATGGTTTAGGGGAGCTATTCAGGGAGATGTCTTTGCACATTAATTTTATAGACAGATAAAGAGGAGTGGGGAATCTCACATAGAAAACATACTCAAAAGCAGAGGAGTAAAGTAGCATGGTGTCTTCTGTGTTGTTACTGCAGTCTTACATATAGGCTAGGGACTAGAGAGATGAGGCCAGAGAGAGAGAGAGAGACAGAGACCAGGTGCCAGAGGCTTCTCCACAGTATGAAGGAGCTTGGACTTTATCTTGTAGGCACTGGGGAAATTTTTAGTAATTTTAATTTATTTTATGTAGAGGCAAAACAGATAATAATTTGGATGGCATGAAATTAAAGGAAAGAAGAGTGGCTACGAGGTTTTCTCAGTAATCCAAAGTAATGGGCATTCTTCCTGCCAGATTAATTAATAAGATGGCAGGAGAAATGAGAATGGCTACACATCAAAGATTTTTAGGGGCAGTATTTTCAAGGCTTTTTAAAAATTATTAAATGTAAGATGATGGGAGATATGATTTCCAGGTTTCCAACTTGAATGGTTGATCTTTTTTTATTATTTATTTATTTATTTTAATTTGACCAGAAAGAGACATAGAGGGAGAGGGAGAGAGAAAGTGAGAAAGCAAGCCACTAGGTCCAGGACTCGAACCATGGTCAGCCATCTGGGAGTGTCCAGCTTCTTAACTCCCACTCCACTTTCTGTTCCCTGAGTGGTTGATATTTTACCAAGACACAGATCATACAAGGGTAATAGAAGAAGATGAGAATTTTCTTTCAAGGCTGTCATTGTCTTGTAGGCAAATTCATAGTAAGTGTGGGGTTGGAAAAAAAGAGAAGAGCTAGGATACATGTCAGCTCATCATGAGCATCATTCCTTGGGAATTGCCTAGGAAGAACATAGGGATTGAAAAGAGAAGACGATTAAGAAAAGCATCAACCTTTAAGGAACACACAAAGGAGGATCTTGGGTGGGCCGACCAGCAGCATGGTAATTAAGGCAACTGGATCTCACATGGCCAGCTGCACAGTTCAAGTCCCTGACTTGAAGGCTTGAAAACATGCCAGGTGTGTGTGCGCACACGCACACACGCCCAAACCCTGAGAGGAGCTGGAGGAGAAGGGATTATGGTATGGCCATCTCCCAAGCAGGTGCATTCTTACTTCCTTTCTCTCTCCCTCTCTCTTTCTCTCTCCAATGAGTGCACATGCCATGTAGCAAAAAAGAAGAGTGTACATGCCATATAGCAAATTTAAAAAAGAGAGAGAGAGAAGGAGGATCTTGGGGAAAATGGGAAAAGGAAAAAGTGAGGATCAGGGCCATTTAGTGGAATTGTATGAAAGAAGAGTATTTATCAGGTGTCAGAAAATACCAAGACTGAAAAATATTTCTTAGATTTGGCAATTAAGAGTGTTAGTGCCCATAGCCTGGCAGTCAAGGTGGCTGGATTCCACATAGCTGATCACGTGGTTTGAGTCTTGGACCTGGTAGCCTGGAAAGCCATGTGCATGCAGGCCCAAAATCCTGAAAGGAGGGGAAAGTGGAAGAAAAGTGATTGTGGAGTGACCATACCCTATGGAGAGTGCCTTCTCTCTTTCTGTCTCTTCTCATTCTCTCTGGCAAGCACAAGCACTCTCTGGCAAATTGAAAAACAAAAAGAAAAGGAAAAAAGTGTTAGTCCACTAATCATGATATATAGTGTCATGTAACTTAAATGAAATCTGCGTGTGCGCACACGCACACACGCCCAAACCCTGAGAGGAGCTGGAGGAGAAGGGATTATGGTATGGCCATCTCCCAAGCAGGTGCATTCTTACTTCCTTTCTCTCTCCCTCTCTCTTTCTCTCTCCAATGAGTGCACATGCCATGTAGCAAAAAAGAAGAGTGTACATGCCATATAGCAAATTTAAAAAAGAGAGAGAGAGAAGGAGGATCTTGGGGAAAATGGGAAAAGGAAAAAGTGAGGATCAGGGCCATTTAGTGGAATTGTATGAAAGAAGAGTATTTATCAGGTGTCAGAAAATACCAAGACTGAAAAATATTTCTTAGATTTGGCAATTAAGAGTGTTAGTGCCCATAGCCTGGCAGTCAAGGTGGCTGGATTCCACATAGCTGATCACGTGGTTTGAGTCTTGGACCTGGTAGCCTGGAAAGCCATGTGCATGCAGGCCCAAAATCCTGAAAGGAGGGGAAAGTGGAAGAAAAGTGATTGTGGAGTGACCATACCCTATGGAGAGTGCCTTCTCTCTTTCTGTCTCTTCTCATTCTCTCTGGCAAGCACAAGCACTCTCTGGCAAATTGAAAAAAAAAAAGAAAAGAAAAAAAGTGTTAGTCCACTAATCATGATATATAGTGTCATGTAACTTAAATGAAATCTGCTACTAACACACCTGTGGAGCTGTGCCCAAGGGGCTAGCCACTTCAGAGGCATTCCATGCTTTCCCAATGGTGGGATTGCAAAATCCACATTCATTCTTTTAAAAAGCAGACTGGTGGCTTTCTGCCCGAAAATAGCCTAAAGTCTCTTATGGTTCTCTAAGTCCACCCTTTAAAGATGTTTCTCTCCTTAAACTGTTGTGGCATCGAAAGTTCCACACAGGTAAGATATTCTTGCAAATGCTTCCCAGGTTCCCGTTGCAGGAAGGTGAAGAGTGCTGCTTTAGCAGTCAACCTGAAAAAATGTAACTGGTGTCTTTACATCTGTGTTGTGTGGTTACCGCACATAAAAGACCTGGCATTTGGTGCTATGAGTTTGATAGAAGATTTTCAACTGCCTAAAACCAATAACAAATGGATTTTTTCTGACTTTTAGCCTTAACACTCTGCTTTTTACAAATGTTTACAGCATGGCATTTAGTTGAAAGAAAGTCCTGAGCACTGCTTGAAAGAAAGTGCTCAGGACAGTTGTCTTACTTTATAGTACAGTAGTTTTCAACTTGTGGTGCCTTCCTGGGCAGCCATCAAGACAGGAATAGACTGAAGAGAGGATCTTGCCACTCAGTCGTAAAGGCTCTGATGAGTCTTTAATTTTTTTCTAAGTTTACATGTTAATGGAGTCAGATAACCTAGGTTCTAGTCCCAGATGTTCCGTTACTTAATCTGACCTGCAAATGAGTAAAATTAAGGATTTGACTGGATAATCTTTAAAATATCCTTTAATTCCTAATGAATTTGTGACCTCTTTCAATTCTGATTGTGTGACTTGCTGGGGGTTTTTTTGTTTGTTTTTAATAATTATTTATTGGGACCAGCAGTTAGCGTAATGGCTATGTCGCCAGACTCCCATTTAGTCAACCGCAATTTGAGTCCCAGACCCAGTGGCTTAAACTCACACCAGGTGCATGCGTGTCCAAGATCCTGAGAGGAAAATGGAGGAGAAGGGATTACAGCGTGGCCATCCCCACAGGAGATGATTTCTCACTTTCTGTCTCTCTGTGTCTTTCTGGCAAGTGCACATGCCCTATAGCAAAAACCTCTCCAAAAAAGAAAGAGAATTATTTATTTAATTATATTTAGTAGTAGTATAATTATTTTAATTTTCCACAGGGCACGTGCACTCACTAGAGAAAGACAGAGAGAGAGGAGGAGAGAGAGAGCAAGCCACCAGGTCTGGGATTTGAGCCACAGGCAGCTACGTGGGAGTCCAGCGCCTTAACCACCATGCCACCTGCTGGTCCCAATACTGGGATTTTTAAAATTCTGTTAAATATGTAAAACAGATTTTATAAACAGGGTATTTTATGAACATTTCAGAATTTCAGAGAGGTGAACTATGGTTTCATCCTTAATCTGGATTCTAGTAAGTTTCCACCATTTCTCACTCTGGAGACTCATGACCAAAGAGACAGAGAAGCCATTTAGTGCATATGGGATGAAGGAATGAGCCGGCTTAAAACTGGTGGAATCTGGTCAGGCCTTAGATGCCTGTGTACTGCTCTGGCTTCCTTACCATACTCTTTTACCAGTCTGCCATACACTAGTTACTCTGTATTTTAGTATCTAAATTAATTATATAATGTGTCTAGTAGTGCTGAGCTTTATAGAAGTACAAAATTCTCCCATTGCGTAGCCCTCAAGGAATATGAATTTTCTCCCTTCTGTCTTTTTTTTTTTTTTTTTTTGAATATTTTTCAAAATAAAGTAAAATTTGTTATTGTACTCCTTGACATGAATGATTCGAATGTAGATACAGTTCCTGGATGTTGTGCCTAATTTTCTGGTTTTTGTGTACTTTTGTTATTAAGCATATGAGCATTTGTAGTTTTAAGTGTCTTCCCGAATATACTATTTATTGATGACATATGAAATGGTATTTCCATTTGACTTAGTTTCTTTTTCTCTCCCCAGCATACAGCATGCCTCTGCAACGCCATCATTGCTTTACTGAAAGTTCCCCTTTCATTTCAAAGGTATTTTTTCCAGAAACTACAGTCTACCAGCATCAAGGTAATGTGGGAAGAATACCGTAGTTAACATAGATTAAAAAACCAGCTGTTGGGGGCCAGCAGGTCCGTGTGGTGGTTAAGGGCACTGGACTCCCACATGGCCAACTACATTTCGAATCCCAGACCTGGTGGCTTGCTTTCTCACTTTCTCTCTCTCTCCCTCCTTCTCTCCCTCTCTGGTCAGGTTAAAATAGATAGATAGATAGATACATAGATACATAGATAGATAAACAAACAAACAAAGTTAAATAAAAAGTAATTCTTTCAAAAAAAAAAGCCAGCTGTCATTTGAAAATTAAGTGGGACATAGCTACACTTCATTATCTTACCTTCGGTTTTGATAAAATTAAATAGCTTTTAGTTATATGCCTTTCTTCCCTTTAGTAAATGGTTTGGTGAGGGACCAACAGATGATGTAATGGTTACATGCTGGACTACCACATAGTTGACCGCAGTTCAAGTCCCAGACCCAGCAGCTTGAAACTCACGCCTATATATATATATATATATATACATATATATATGTATGTATATACATATCTATATACATACATATATATATGGTTTGGTGAAGGGAATAGGATTTGGTAATTAAATTTCCTCTTGGAATTTTAGGCATGCCACACATATGTACCTGGCATGTTATTCAAACCGCCAAGTCCAGGAATTAAACCATGCAATTGGCCATGTGAGACCCAACTACCTTAATCACCATTAGTCACCATACCACCTAGCTTTTCCTCTCCATGATTTTTTTTTTTAATTTTGCCATAGAATATGCACGTTAACTATTAATGCTAAATGCTGTTAGGGTAGGCATTTGGGTAACAGGAGCTCTGTCCCTTGTCTGTTACCTCCGAGAATAGATTACTGGTTTTCATCATAGTAGCCTACAAGGTTAATTGAGCTGAGTCTAGCCCTATCATCCTGTTCCAACCCAACTTAAAATGAATCCAGTCCAGTAAAATATCACTGGTACTATCTCCAAAGCACTTTTGCCTTCAGATAACTTTTTTTTTAAAAAAAAGAGCTGATCAGGACCAGCAGGTGGCGTAGTAGTTAAGGCGCTAGACATTCCCACTTGACTGACCACAATTAGAGTCCTGGACCTGGTGAGTTGCTCTCTCACTTTCCCTCTCTTTCTCTCTCTGGTCAAATTAAAATAAATGAATGACTAAATAAAATGAAGTAAATGTGTGTGTGTGTTTTTTAAAGCTAGTCAGTGAGTAAAGTTAATATTCTTAAAATATTTTTATTTTATTTGCTAGAGGGTGTGTATAGTCACCAGAGATAGAGAAGAAGGAGAAAGCACCCCAGAGTAGGGTGAGGTTATGATGCAGTCCCTTCTCCAAAGTTTCCCCACCCTGTCAAGATTTAGATACACACACACATGTACCCAGAGTGTTTCCCAAGCTTCCAGGGCCAGGACTTGAACTAGTTGGTTAGCCATATGGGATATAGCTTCCTTAACCACTAGGCCACAGAGGCTGCTGGGTATTTTAAAATATTTAAGTCATTCAAAATTCAAAAGCTACTTTTGATTCTAAGAAGGGAAAGGAGGAAAATTATCACTGATTATCCCTGTCAGTTAATGTGGTTGGTGAACTCGTGCATCCAATTAGATGCTTTTGATTGCAAATAACAGCACATTCCATTTTGAAATGACCTGAATAGTAAGGAAAATTATGTAGATAAGAAGTCCTAAGGTAGAATATATTCGAGTCAATTAATTCAGTGGCTCAATGACATCAAAAAGACCACGTTTTTTTCCCCTTTTTTCATTTGGCATACTTGAACTTTCTGTAATGGAAGCATATTTGAGATTTTAATACATTTTAAATAAAATGTATTTTAATGAGAGGTTAAAAATATCATATGGCTTATTCATGAAAATTGACTTTTATTTTTTTACCATAGTGACTTCATTATGTAAGTAATCCTAGAATTTTAAGTTCATTTGTATTTGAGTTAGCCTGTTTAAAAGTGCCTAAAATCAACCAGATGACAGCTGAAAACAAGATGTACTAAATGCATTCCCTGCATAGAGTAATTCATTGTCAGAGAAATACCTTACCACAAAAATGGGGAGCATAGTGCCTTCATTATTCTCTAATCCTGTTACCTTCCACTAGAACGGAGGTTTGGGGTGAAAACCATAGCACCATTTAGGAGGCATTAGGAATAAGGACACTTAACTTTAAAGGTCTGTCTATATGCTTTTCCCAGCCAGCCTAGTCAAGTCATGGAGCAGGTGGGAGGGGGTGTGCAAACATGTTAACCTATAACCAGTGATTAGGACAGACCAGTTTGTTGGAAGGAAGCGTGCTCTTGGTTGTTGGCATTTATTTTATGTCATCATTCCAGCTTGCTCTGTCACCTTCTCCCCGGAACCCTGCGGAGCCCATCGCTGTGCAGAACAACCAGCAGCTGGCACTAAAGGTGGAGGGAGTGGTTCAGCATGGATCCAAACCAGGACTCTTTCGCAAAATCCAGTCGGTCTGTCTGAATGTTTCTTCTACCCTACAGAGTAAATCCGGACAAGACTACAAGGTAATTTAGAGAAGAGGCAGAATTAGAATGCAGATTTTATCAACTCATTGATGAAAGTTTTCCAGTGTTTTTTTTTATGGGTGAGATTACAGTTACCCCTCCAAAGGGATCATATGACCATAGGGTTAAAAGCACATATTGAGAGTTCAAGGGACTGATAAACAACACTTCTCTTCCCCACATGAACCAGTTAATAGAGGGACAAAACACCCAGGCAAACAGAGCTCGAGATGGGACTTGTATCACTGTGAGAGCTCTAGGAGTGCCTAACTTAGGTGCTTGGTAGCAAGGATGTCCTAGTATTATACCTTTGAATTGAATTTTCACTCCCCATGCCTGGTTCTTCCCCTGAAATCTAATAATCAGTAAGACTCGCCTCCTCCCCTAGAGGCCAGCAGTTAATCCAATGAAAGGTCCCTCTACATAGAAGAAAATGAAACATCTGGAATAGAGAATAAGAGTATCCTACACAGACACACACACACACACACACACCATACATACATTTTTCTCTATTTTAAGTAATTTTTAAAAAAGATTTTTTGTTGTAGGGCACATATGCTCAACAGAGACAGAGAGAAAAGAGAGAAAGTGAGAAATCACCCCCTGGGGGAAGGCCACTCCAGAGTCCCTTCTCTGGTCTCCTCTGAGGATTTTGGGTACCCTTGCACACTCACCTGGTGTGATGTTCAAACTGTGGTGTCCAAGACGCAAACCACATGGCCAGCCAGATGGAATCTAGAACCTTTAACCACCACAGCACTTCCTAGCCCCTATTTTAAGTAAATTTTAACATTAAAAAAACGTACATCAGGAACCAGCAGTTAGCGTAATGGCTATGTCGCTGGACTCCCACGTAGTCAACTGCAGTTCACGTCCCAGACCCGGTGGCTTAAAACTCACACCAGGCGCATGTGCATGCGTGCCCAAGATCCCGAGAGGAGAATGGAGGAGAAGGGATTGCGGTGTGGCCATCCCCCCCAGGGGGTGATTTCTCGCTTTCTGTCTCTATGTCTCTCTCTGTCTGTCTGGCGAACGCACGCGCCCTATAGAGAAAACCTCCAAAAAAAGGGGGGAGGGAAATAAAAGTACACCGTGGGTCCAGCAAATGACATAATGGTTAAGTCACTCCCACGTCAACCACAGTTCAAATCCCGGACCCAGCAATACTCAAAATCCTGTCTCTATCTCTCTGGCAAGTGCATGCACCCTATAGCAAAAATCTCTCTCTCAAAAAAAAAATAATAATTATAAAGTACATAGCATTAACATATAGTGGTGAGATAAAGTGATCCTTAAGAGTATAATCCTACAGATATAATGCTTGAGAAGTCTTGAAGTAGGTAGGCATTAACCAAAATCAGACTTAGGTCCAGCTGCTTTTATCAGCATACTGCTAAAACACTATTGCTCTGCAGGCTGGGACCACCCAGGGAATTCTGGGTTCAATTCCCAGTCTAACCTGAAGTCCAGGCATGGCGGCATGTGCCTATAATAATAATGACTTGAGAGGCTGAAATAGGAGGATCATGACATGGTGAGACTCCTTTTTATAAAAAAGCAAAAAATCAAACTTACATTGTTCCCAGAGCTAGAATGTTGAGTCTGTGTCTGAGTACCAGCATTCCAAATATAAAGTGTGCCTTTCTTCGGATACGTCTTTCCAGTTCCTTGGTGGTTTATCCACAGTACACGAAGCAAGGGAATTTTTTTTGGTGAATGATGAAAAAACAATTTATGTCACTCTAAAATCTTGAATTGGCTGTCGATTTCAGTTCATTGATGTTACAGACAAATGTCTCTGGAAAATTCACCTAATGATAACTACTCATAGAAGCATTCACATAATTAATTACTGAATTGCACACACACTTAAAGCAATCTGGTCAAATACCCATTAATATTATCTTTTTATGCATTGTCAGAATAAGTCAGTCTCTAGACATGCTGCATCTTCAGGTGCAGGTAAGTACCTGTCAGTACCGGTGGATTTTATTCTGTTCTTTGGAAGACAGAGGCATGGGTATCTGGCTGAATAAGTGAATGATCCCATAAATCTAAACAGTATACAGGTTCTGAAGTAGTTGGTTAAAAAAGTAAGGAATCAATTACTTTACTTAATTATATAAAATCAGATTTAACTAGGGGAGTAAAAACATAACTTAAATTTAGTGTTCTTTTTTAGTCTAAAAAAGAGATAAACTCCCTGAAACAAGTGGTTTCTTAAAACTGTCTCTTCATAGACTAAAGAAAGAAGGGGATTTGGAGATGAGATTGAGTAAGGGAGAGAAGCCAGTATATAAAGGGGTGGAAAAAGACTGGGAGCTCTTTCTACCTAAGGATAGTGAGGAGGTAGTGTCACCTGTTAGGAGCGTAGGCTCTGGAGTTACAGCCTGCCTGAGTTTTCCCCATCACTCATGAGCCTTGTGATCTTGGAGAAATTACTTAACCTCTCTGTCTTGGCCTCCTTGTCTGTAAAGCAAGGATGATTATATTTACATTTTACTTGCTTGCAAGCACTAAAGAAGCTTTAGAACAAGGTCTGGTTCGTATTTAAGTGCAGAGTCAGTGTTAACTATTGCTATTTAACTATTCTTTCATTCCAGATACCCATTGACAATATGACTAATGAGATGGAGCAGAGGGTTGAGCCTCATAATGATTACTTCAGCACTCAGTTTCTGTTGAACTTTGCCATCCTCGGAACACACAACATTACTGTGGAATCGTCAGTGAAAGATGCCAATGGTATTGTATGGAAGACTGGTCCCAGAACTACCATATTTGTAAAATCCCTGGAAGATCCTTATTCCCAGCAAATTCGCCTACAGCAGCAGCAAGCCCAGCAACCATTACAACAGCAGCAACAGCGAAATGCCTACACAAGGTTTTAACCATGGGTCAAATTGGCAGAAATGGTCTGCCTTTTCATGTGGATTAAGTATCAAAGTTATAATGTGGTGTTCATTTATTCATTGATCTCTGCAATGTAATATTCCAGAAAATGGGGGGGGGGGCTTTTTTTTAGAATTTAGTTAGAAATAATTAGGTTCCCAGGCAGAAAGACTTTGTTCTTAGTTCTTCCTAAACCAAGTCCTTTATATCATATTTAACATTTTCACTGTTTTATTATTTTTTTTCTGTTGCTAAGCTTTTTCTTTCAAAACTAGTCACATATTTGGATCATTGAACTAGTAAATTTGACTGCTTCTCTTGCAGATTATTTCATTTGCTGCTTAAAAAAGACCTGGGATTCTGTCATAGGCATTGGGAAGTTATGCCTGGAAGGTGCAGGGTTTGTTTATGGTCGTAGAAACTGAGTCCTTTTGTAGATGGGCTTGAAAGCAGCCCCTGCAGCATGTAGCCTGCTGGATTGTCAGGGCCTACAGTCCAGACAGATGAAAACATCCCACCGTATCATTTCACCACTTACCTATCTCTTCCAGTGCTAAAGCAATCTTAATTTATTGTTTTAGTGTTTAATTGACCCAAAGAGCATCTAGCAATTACACTAAGAAACTGGAGATTAATAATGTTTTGGTTTTTTTTTTTCTAGTGTGTGTGAGACTATGTGTAATGGACTTTTTGAGAGGTTTTTCATTATAGGGTGCCTGCGCTCGCCAGACAGACAGACCGAGACAGAGACAGAAAGTGAGAAATCACCCCCCAGAGGGGATAGCCACGCTGCAATCCCTTCTCCTCCATTCTCCTCTCGGGATCTTGGGCGCATACGCGCCCAGCGGTGGGTTTTAAGCCACCGGGTCCAGGACGCGAATCGTGGTCGACTACGTGGGAGTCCAGCAACATAGCCATTACGCTAACTGCTGGTTCCCTAATGGACTTTTTTATATTGTCTCTGAAAGTGAAAACGTCACTCATATCTAATACCTTAATATTTTAAGTTAGAGTGGGCAGATCTTTGGTTTGGTTTCTGTCTAATGAGATAAGTCATGTTCGACTGCTCTATCAAGAGCAGTCTCTATAGTAACAGCACAACCTCAATTATTTGGGATGCTCAGGGAACACCTCTTTTTTTCTTCTTCAGAACTGGTTGAAAACCATTATAAAGTATAACGGTATGTTTTATTATCTTAACATAGTGTATAAGGTATAATTTAACTGCCTCTTGCTTTAGGATCAGTTAGAAGGATTGTGATTTCCAAACATCAGGAATCAGAGAATTCCAGATACGGGTGATAACAGGCATTTGTGCTGGATGGATACAGCTCCTAAGGTGAAGCAGGGTGCATTCCCTGGAACTTTCTCTCTCTCTTTTTTTTCTTTTTAATAAATTTCCCAATTTCTTTGCTTGTGTTTTGCCCTTTTCTCTTAAAAATAAACATTGTTCAAAGGGATGGCATTTTAAAATTAGGATTTTTTGTTTTTTGACGTCATGGGACTTCAGGAGTGTGAAGTGGTTGGCAGCTCAGGGTCCCTCCAGGATTGCTTGCTTAGCTTCATGAGCTGTTGCCACAGCACAGCACTTTCTGCTGCTACGGCCACTGTGTGATAAACTGTGTACAAATCTACCATGTCCACTCCCATGGGGACACCCATTTATAAACATGGTCTAGTCCGTAGTGTACCATTGGCACAGTCCTGTCAGCACCTAGGAACATATATGCCTTAGGAGGAAAAAATTGCCAAGGAGGTGTGAGGGACATGTGTAGAATCTCTTGTCCTTCACTAGGTGTGAAAAGAGCTGAATCAGAAAGCCTAGGGCTCTTTGAATTAACTCTGTGACCTGGGGCAAGTCACTTTATCGCTCTTAAACTTAGTTTCTTTAATTTCCTTAAAACTGAATTAGACTAGTTTGTGTTTTGTTTATTTTAAATTTACTAACAGGTAGTATGTTTGTGGGGCTGGAGATTCTGAGAGAAAGCCCCCCCATCACCACCATGGGGAGTTGTCATGATGCAGTCCCTTCTCCACTTCTTTTGGGATTTCAGGCACACACACCTGCCTTGAATTTCTTAAGCCACCAGGTCTAGGACTTGAACCGCATAGCTGGCCATATGAGATCCATCCATCTTGACTACCATGCCACTAGCTAGCCCTTGACTGGATTTCTTTTCTTTTCTTAAAGATTTTTGCCACAGTGCAAGTGCGATCACCAGAGAGAGACAGTGAGAAGAAAAGTGAACAACTCCCCCCTCTCCAGGGGATGGCCATGCCACAGTCCCTTCTCCTCCATTCTCCTCTTGGGATTTTGGGTGTGCACACACTTGCCTGGCATGATTTTTCAAGCCACCAGGTCTGGGGCTTGAATTGCAGTAGTCCATGTGGGAGTGCCAACACCTTAAGCACTTTGCCATCTGCTGGGCCCCTAACTAGATTTCTTGACTGTAATCTAGAATTTTGTTGCAAGGTGACTGAAAGTCTAAAGACAAAAAAAAAAAAAATCTTATATTGGGAAAGATGTTTTTTTAAAGTGACTATTTTCAGGGTGAAAATTTATAATGAGAATATTTAGGCTTGTATTGTTTCAAGGTAGAATTTTGTAGAAAAAGAAGCAGATCTTATATAAGTCACCAGTTCCCTTTGAAACCTTCCCTTTTTTTTTTTTTTTTCTTTTTTTCCTTTTTTCTTTTCTTAATTTTTAAGCCACTAGGTTCGGGACTTTAACTGTGGTCAGTCACATGGGAGTTCAGTGCCTCAATTACCATGCCACCTGCCAGCCCCCCAGTTTTATATTCTTAAAAGATAAGTTTTAATTAGGAACTTAAAAGATAGCTGTAATTAGGAACTCTGACTTGATGTTCTACAGGATCCCTGACACAAACATGAAAAGGAATCATTCAATCCAAATAGTTCAGCAAATAAAAACTCTATGAAACAAAAAAAGACTAAATTATTTCAGTATGTCCATTAATTAGGTTTAGGATTAGAATGCTTATTTATTTGTTATAATATTAACTGCATTTTTGGCATGAACTATAAAGTAGTTATTTGGGTGGGAGGAAACTGTCTGTGTTTATAATTTCAAGATTGCAATAACAGGAAAAGAAAAATACTCAGAAGGGCTGGCTTTATAGTACAAGGGTTAAATGTAGTACATGAGGAGCCAGATTCCCTGTGGCCAACTGTAGTCTGAATGCTGGCCCCAGCAGCTTGAGAAACATGCCAGACATGTGTACATGTGTGTCCAAAATCCTGACAGAATGGAAAGTGGAAGAAAAAGGATTACAAAGTGACTATGCCCCATTGCATGAGGTGGGGATGCTTTTTCTGTTTCTTTTTCTGTGATGAGTGTGCATGCCCTTTGGCAATAAAAAAAAAAAAGAAATTATCAATAAAAGCAAAAGAAATACTTAAGAGATGGACTAGAAAGACATGCATACTAACTATGAAGTAAGGATGTTTCCTGAATTTAGAAACAGACAATAAAGGACACTGGCTGGTTGAATCTAGGAAGGCAGGACTAATTTTTCTCAGTGCTTAGTGACTGCGGTTTAGCCTACTGGCGTAAGAGATGGACTAGAAAGACATGCATACTTAACTATGAAGTAAGGATGTTTCCTGAATTTAGAAACAGACAATAAAGGACACTGGCTGGTTGAATCTAGGAAGGCAGGACTAATTTTTCTCAGTGCTTAGTGACTGCGGTTTAGCCTACTGGCCAAGAGCACACCCTTCAGAGCCGCATTGCCCGGGTTCAGGTCTTCGCTCTACTCCTACTCTTTGGCAGTAGGGTGTGTGTACTTGTTAAAGGGGAGGAGAGGTGGAAAAGTCACTACTCAGGGGAATGAATGGCTGTGCCACAGTCCCTTCTCCATTCTCCTGGGATCTGGGGTACACACATACACCCAGCGTGATTTTTCAAGCTGCCAAGTCCAGGACTCAAACCATGGTTGACCAGGTGGGAATCTAGCACCTTAACTACCATGCGACATGCTGGCCCCAAGCTACTACTCTGTGCCTCAATTTCCTCATTCCTAAAATCGGGAAGCATGATACTGTTTCATGGGATAAGTGCAAAGATTCACGTGAGTCGGTATAGAATTAACATGTGTAAAGCACTTACAACATGCATGGCACATAGCAGATAGATATTTGCCACTGTCGTCATTATTATTATCCTTCCTAATATTTTTCACGGCGTTAGATCAGTCCTTAGTCTTAGCTTTTTTTTTTTTTTAGAGATTTTTTGCTATAAGGCACTTGCACTCATTGGAAAGACAGAGATAGTGAGAAATCACCTCTCAGGGGGTATGGCCACACCACAATTCCTTCTCCATTCACCTCTTGGAATCTTGGACACACATGCACTCACATCCTGTATGAGTTGCAAGCTACCAGGTCCAGGACTCAAACCACAGTTGACTACATGGTAGCCCAGCAACGTAACCATTATGCCCTCTGCTGGTCCCAGTGTTTAATTTTTTTTTAAAATAAAGTTATCTTTTCTCTGCCACTGAACACACATTTAAGCTGTTTTCCTTCATATCCAATTTGGGTACATTGAGTAATAAAAGAACTTAATATTGAAGTAACTAAAATGGAAGTTACTACTACTAGTAGTAACTACTAGTGATTTACTGTTGTAAATCACTTAATTAAAATATTTAAAGACACAGAATGATATAAAATGTTTTCTGCTGATTGCCTTCAATTATGGTAGACTAGCACCCTATTTAGAAATAAATGTACTATTGTATTTCAGCTTAAACTAAAAGATCTTCGGACATCATCTTTATAGCCAAAAACAGCCAAAGTGGCATGTAATTTGTACCTGGAAACCATAAGTTACTCCTCACATTAAGATAAGGTCCAGAGAAGAACAAACAAGATCCTCAGACAAGGGTCCCAGATAGGTCCATTCAAATTCTCTTTCTAGAACTCACTTGTGGAACCTTAGGTAGGTCACTTGATTTTTCTGTGCCAGTGTCAGCCAACAAAATACTGAGTGTGAGATGATCTGCCACTCAGCATAGACTAGGCGCAGCGCTGGCCAACGACTCTGATGATGGAAGTGTCCTCGATCTGCACTGTTCAGTACAGCCCTAGCCATGTGACGCTATAGAGTAGCAAGAGTGTAGACATTGTGGCTGAGGAGCTGCATCTCGCTTAATGTCAGTTCAGCTAGATTTAAATTGCCTCATGTGGCTACTGCCTATATTGTTAGACAGTACTGGAAGTAAGAAATGAGGGCTCACTATTACCTTGAGACCCAGCTGACCTGTAAGTGGGCTTCTACATGAGGGACCTATGTCAGAAT